CGATGATGATGATGATGATGATGATGATGATGATGATGATGATGATGATGATGATGATGATGATGATGATGATGATGATGATGATGATGATGAATGGCGGTGATGGTTGGTGTGGCAATGATGCTGGTAGAATAAAAATGGAACAGTGTATTAGTACGCTTATCAAGTTTTCCCCTATTTCTCAAAATTTCTGTTCCAATCTTCTCTTAAAGCTTCTCTGACATTCATTAATGCAATTTCGTATTTCGTTCCAGGTGAAGAGATTCCCACCTGTTTACGAATGGAATAAAAATAGCTGCTTACAAGATAATTTTGCTGGGGCAAGCTTTCAAGCTGACTGAAACTCGTATGCGCATTAGAGGCCAAATACCAGCAGATTTTCTCAAGAAATGGAAGAGGCGGACGAAGAACCTGTTGAAAGGTTCGATGATATGGATTTGGTTATCTTAGATGACGCTGACGAAACAAGAAGTAGAAGCGGATCCCGATGTCGCAGTCGAAGTTGCAGCGAACACAGATACCGAACGAAAAGGAAAAGAAACGATTCTTTAGATAGAACTAGTGTAGACAGTAACGCTAACAGTATAGCCAGACGTCTTGAGGGCAAGATGAATAAACGTCGATGCGAAAGATGTAGCGAGCGACGAGATAACGGTATTGACGACAGGGACAAGGAGGCGAGGAGAGGAGAAGACAGAAGAGATCTGAGCAGGCGGAGGGACAGAAGTGACGAGAGCAGAAGGATTTCTGACAGAGACAGGTCTTTGAGGCAAAGAAGAACTCCCAGTAGAGAGAGAGACATGAATGTGGATGGAAGGGTATTTTCCAATCTAGAGGAATGGCGCGAGAGAGAGAGGGAAAGAAGTTTAGAAAGAAGAAAGAATCTAGAACGAGACAGAGAGAGGAGCTTAGAAGAAAGGCGAAATTTAAACAGAGACAGAGATCGGAGCATAGAAAAAAGAAGAGTTAACAACAGAGATAGAGAGAGAAGTTTTGACAAATGGACTTCCAGCAGAGAGAGAAGTTTAGAAAGAAGAACAAATTCAGTTAGAGACAGAGAAAGAAGCTTAGAAAGAAGAAAAATAAGCAGAGATAGAGAGAAAAGCATTGAAGAAAGAAGAAAAATCTCAAGCAGAGGTAGAGAGCGAAGTGTAGAAGAAAGACGAGTTTTAAAGAGAGATAGAGACAGGAGTTTAGATGGAAGGGGAAGTTCAAAAAGAGACAGAGAAAGGAGTTTGGAAGACAGAAAGACTTCAAGGGGAGGTAGTGATGATGGCAGAAGAAATCTTAGCAGGGATAAAGAGAGGGAGTATAGAGAAAGAGACATTTATAACAGAGATAGAGACGAGGAGAGGGAGTACAAGTCAAGCAGAGGTAGAGAGAAGAGGTGTGAACACGAAAGAACGCATAATGGAGATAGAGGGAGGAATGTGGATGACAGGAGAAAGTCTGGCTCCGACAGGGGCGAAGAGAGAATACTTTCCGCGAGAAACAGAGTTGCCAAACAGAGAGATTGTGAATGTCGTGATTCGAGAGGAGTTTTAGAGGAAGAAACTATTTCCAACTGCATAGAAGATGAAGAAGAAGAAGTGGTTTATTTGGACGAAGAAGTAATAGAAACAGAAAACGACGAGGAAGACAAAAGAAGTCGGACCCCACCGGAAGTCTCTAGGAGGAGGCGGCGAAGGCGTCGAAGTAGTGGTGGAACAAAAAATAATAGTGAATTTTCTGACCGAAACAATTCATCTTCCGAAGAAGAGAGCAGTACAGATGGGCAGTCAGCGCATACCAACGCTACAGGTGCACTTCAGCCTCGGGAGCATACTCCTTTACCAATTTACAATGAGTCAGTTAGGGAATGCAACCACGTCAGTTCTCTCGACGCCGTAAGAGACAAATCTTTGCGTGGAATAGAAGATCCTAGGATGAACGTGAGCAACCTGGACCAATCAACTCGGATGTGGAAAGAAATTGAAAAATACAGTAAGTCTTCTTTGGACTATTTAAGTTTGTTCCTTTGGCTTCTTATATGATTGCCTCTTGTTGTGATGTTTCTGTTTGCCGTTCTCTTTACTCTTAGTTCTTCCTGTGCCTATCACAGTACGTGATAAAGTATCGTATTGAGTCTCATCTTCTAATATGAAATGTGCCATTTATAGTTCTGACTCGAGTCATAAACTACAAGAGACAACCCATCCCCCCCCCCTCTTTCTCCCCTGAATAAGTGGGAGATGCACCAGTGTCTTGTCCAAACTGACGTTTAATGTAAGAGTATTCAAGCATTGGCATTCTTATTTCTTGCCAACCGTTTGTTAATTCTCAGAGAACAGATTTTCAAATCTCAATTTTAACTAGGAAAGGTAATTCATAAGACATTTCCTTAAACGATGTTGGTGATTTCCAATCTCATTAACTTAAGCTAATTCTTCTGGCATACTAGTCCACATTATCCCCATTGGCTTGTGCCGATAGAGATTTTTTTTCCATTTCCAGTTCGCGTCTCATTAAGCGATGTTCTTTAAGGCTTGGGTAGATGGAAACACTTCGTCTTTCTATGAATCCCTATTTCTGCCTTAATGCTTCCATATCATATGAGCATCTATATTGTACTTTTATGGCGGTTTGTTTTGTGTGGTTTGTTTGCTTGTTTAATGAAAGGTCTTTTTCTCCCTTGTGCTGAAAGTCGCCACTTCAGTTTTTGGTAGGCTGATATCTGTTTGCCGTCTGTTTTTCCCAAGGTGTCAATCTAATGCTGTCATCAAGGAACGATTATTTCCGACAAAAAATATCCAACTCGCCAAACGTGTCAAATTCAGATTATTTTATTTCTTCTGAAATGTAGAATAATGTTTCTGCTTTAAAGAGACAATTTCCGATGATCAATGGATCACCGAAGTAACGTATGTGCGCTTTCTGACAAGATATCAATATAATATCATTGAATATGCAAATGTATAGGACCACCTTCGCGCAAGAGGTTCGCTGATGTGATGAGTATTATCTCATGTTTGTGTACACTCATGTTTTAAGACTCAAATAGCGATGGTCTCTTTATATTTCGTTTACAGCACAGAAGCTTGCCAATATAAGTCTTTAAATATAACTATGTTGCCTCTGAAACAGAAAAATGAACGTTTAATGAAAGGGGATGAGCTACTTGAGAATCAGGAAAAAATGATGTTCGTGGAGTTTAGGGAGGCATTTGAAAGCTATGTTTAAGTGGCCTTTGGAGTTCCATTTTCATCACCTACTTTTATTTAGGGAGGAACGATACACCATTTCTGGTCTCTATCATCAATAGAAATTAGTTTGAAGTCATCATATCGAGCCTGCTTCATTCGAAAAGGGTTAAGGTATAAATAAAGAAACTGCAGTTTTGTAGTAATTTATTTTCTGAGGTCCGTTTTTTATGGAATTTGTTTTACAATCCAGCAACTAAGATGTTAATCATTCCAACTCAAAGCTTCTCAGTGCTAAATAGAAAAAAGGAATGGAGAATTTGTATTTTATTCTATTTATTAATTTATTTATTTTACTTGGTCTCATACCTCTGCATACAAACATGGAAGTAACAATGCGAGAACAATCGAGTCCTTCGAATTTGTCGGAAGTAAAAGTTCACCTAAAGAAGGATCGAACAAAATTATAATTTGCAACGTTCTCTCTACGGTGCCAAGGTTTTCCAAATTAGCAAAGCAAGCTATCGATGATTTCAGACTGTGAACGTCATCATCCGTATTGTATGGTCTATTTCAACATCATGAATGCTGTGTTCCTGTGGTAACAAAAAGAGACCAACACTGTTAAACATAATGACTCATCCTTCCTTGCCAGGCACAGCGGTCTGACTGAAAGCAAACTTTTAATCTTGATTAAAGGAAAAGATCCCCTGATGCTGATAGAAAAGCACCCAGGAAAAAAGCACAAATCCGAACCTAGAAGTTCGGCGATTTGGCTAATAATCTTAACCAGCTGCTCTACTTTTGCCGGTCGTCATGTTTCGCTTGGGAGTCATCCAGCGTAGTTCTACGGATTAGCTTCTTTTTTTTTTCCTTTTCTTTCAAAAGAACAACTCCGTACTGCACTTTTGTTTTCTGTTGTTTTCATTTAGAAAAATAGAAGGGATCGTGTTACAGCTGTGGATGTTGTCGGTGGTATCGATTGGTCACATGCGGAGTTTGTAAAGGGGGAATGTCGTAGTATTGAATCGTCTCCGTGCGACAAGATCAAAGAGTCCGTTACGTAGTCTGTTTGAAAACTTCAAAAGAACACACAAACACATACAAACACACACACACACACATATACACACACACACATACACACACACACATACACACACAAATACACCCCCCACACACACACACACATATATACACACGCACACACTTGTGTCAGTAGCAATTAAAATGACAAGTAGAAAGAAGTCTACCATGTTGAGCAAATCTTCAACTTAATCTCTTTTTTTATTTCACAAAAAGATACAGTAGATTGGCTGATAAATAACGAAATTGTTATTGTCACAGTATTCTCAAAAGAGCTTAATACTAGGATACTCTCAAAAGCAAAACAAGATAGTGAATCATAACGTAAAATCAATCAATAAAGGAGACAATAAAATCACACTCATATCACAATTCTTAAGTACAAATATAGTTCAAGGCATATTTCTTCTCAAGACATTACGTTAAAGGGTGGGAGGTGGGGGATGGAAATAATTTAGTTAAGTATGATCGAAATAAAGGTGCGCTTGGCTAAGGGCGTTCTCATACACACATCGCCTTACTACCCCCTTATTGTTCAAAATTATGTTTAAAAAACAACTTCGTTTTCAGTTATGAAACTGAATTCAACAATTAAAACGGAAGCTCAAGGCACCAAATCATGAGAAAACACAGAAGTAGTCTAGTTTTATACTAAAAAAGCAAAGGGTTTGATCATTACACGATAGACGATATGACTGGAATATACACATATTATACACATGCATAATATGCAGAAACGCACAAACACACACACACACACACACACACACACACACACACACACACACACACACATAAACGCACATTCACTCACGCACTACACACACACACACACACACACACACACACACACACACACACACACACACACACACACACACACACACACACACACCGCGCATTCTTATATTATTGCACCTTCTGCTTAGTTCCGAGGAGAAGAATTAAAAGTTAAAAGGTTCACCACATTCCATTCATCTGGGGGGGGGGGGGGGGGGTTTGTTTGTTTTTTGGCGGGTTTTTTTTCATGGGGTCCTTATTTTTATTTTAGGGGGAGGGGGTGACGTTACAATAGATTTGTCCGCCTACACTAAATCATGAAGAGACGCTGAAAATCAACTCCAAACCCCACTACATAACTCAAGTGCAGATTAAGCCCAAGACAATCCTACTTCGCCACAAATCGATGTAATCAACTCTCTTGAGCTTTTCTGCACCTTTGTATTGTTACTAACCATTCCCTTCGAAGTGGTTGGCCTGGGGCACTCTCAATTTTTTTGGGGGCCCAGCGGAAACTTGGTCTGCTGTAATAATATAACTATCATACCCACATTTGTCTACTAATCAGATGGCATCAATATCATAGAAATGGGCAAGGGACAAAAGAAAAAGCCAAAAAGACCCTGGGCTCACTTACAACAGTCTCATCCAAAATGAAAAACCTAGATACTAATTGGTAACAATTAATGAGGGCTGTGTACCTTGAAAAAAAGTTCAAGTTTGGGTAAGTTTTCAACACACTTCAGTATCTGGGGATCGACACAAGGTGGCGTCCAACATCCAAACAGAGTCAGATAATTAATAACCAAGTCTTTTTTATATGTGCGCTCTCCTTAAAAACCAAAAAGGAAAGTGGCACCAAATGAGGTGGCCAGCGACTTGGCCCAAACTTATTTTAACCGCTTTCTTCAATATTGTGTAATGAATTCGATTTGGCAAGCTGTAATTTCGTATGGGTTCGCCGGAGGCGCTCAAAGGGATTAACATCCACCACCACTTGACATTCATACCGTACATCTGGCAACGAGATCAAATGACGTTTCAAAGAATGGATAGAAAAATGAACAACAACAACAACAACAATAACAACAACAGCAACAACGTTGCGTGCATCACAGTCTCACAAAAGAAGACAATAACGAAGAAATGAAATACGAAAGTACAATAAGTCTAAGATACATTTTTACGTCCTCTTTAACGATCTGGTTTTCTTGGCTGTACGGTTGCTGGAGAGAGAAAAATATCCAAAATAAAAGGAATTCGTCAGTTTTACACTTTTCTTCACTGTTCAAAACAATACACTTAAGAATAAGAAGAGCATACATCTTACGGAATTTTGTTGTTGTTGTTGTTTGGGTTTTTTTTGTTCGTTTCGTTTGCGTTAAGAAAAAAAGTTGTCTTTATTTTCGTTTACAATAATACGAACTACAGCACACCTACCTATACAGAAAACGACAGTATCCAACAACTGCAGCCACATCATCAACAACCGTACAACTACCACTATTAAAAAGAACAGCAACAACAGCAACAACAGCAGCAGCAACAACAATAACAACAACAACAACAACAACAACAACAACAACAACAACAACAACAACAATTACAACAGCAAACTGATTTTAAACAGTAAAATACCATTTTCAGTGCTGATTCTCTTCGTACAACGCCGTGTGTATGTATGTGTGCATGTGCGTGTCGGTGTGTGCGTACGTGCGCGCATGCGTGAGTGCCTGCGAGGGTGAATGATAGTCAGATAGGCACACCGACAGACAGACTGAAAGAGGGTGAGGG